TTTTGCAACTATTAGCTGTTGATGATTCTTTTTATATTAAAGGAGTGAAATGAAATGTCAGTGTGGAAATCATTGGCCCTGACTGTAGGGTACTGATGATAACAAAGCATCAAAGTTATTATATTCACACAGTTTTATTGGGTTTTGTTTTTTTGTTTTTGCCACTGTCAGTAGATTATCTGGAAATTCATCATCAGCACATATCACAACTGACAGATATCAGCAAATTTAACAATTAGTCTTCTATGAATTTTGGTTTTATGTCTTTTAAAACCAAGTACAGTACATTTTGTTTCAGTTTGGACCATGAAAACATTTCTTTAGCTTTGCACGTTCAGCTTATTTTTTGGTCTTTTTATTTCACAGGTCTTGAACCAGCTCGTCCCAACCTGCTCCTTGGCCTGCTGATCTGCCAGAAGGATAGAAAACGTCCTGGTGCTCCGTTAGAAAGTGAAGAGAAACGGTCCAAGACTCAAACCAAAGATGCAGAGGAAACCAGCCTTCCAAAGCCACCTCCTGCAGTCAAAGCAGAAAAGAACACACGGCAAAGTCTTGAAATCCCCTTCAGCACAACTCCTCCAGGATCACCTCCATCTAGCTCCTCCGAGGCTTCCACCACCTCTGTTCTGTCCCTGTTATCTTCCATCAAGGCTCCATCCACATCCGCTACCACTGACAAGGACTCCGTTTCTTCATCCAACTCTGTTTCTTCATCCGCAGCAGCTGCCACTCCTCTTGAGACCATTCTCAAGACTCTTTTTGGCAAGAAAAAACATGACTCTGAAGCTTCCAACTCACCGTCTGATCAGGGTGGGGAATTTGCTGCCCCAACAGGTACAATGTTAGATCCTATAGTTCAGAAGTTTGCACAGATTTCTAAAGAAAAAACAGTAGAGGAGGATGAAGATGACCGACCTTATGACCCAGAAGAAGAATATGACCCCAGTAGATCCTACAATGTGCCGAAGAAGCCTATGGAGGTGGTAAGCAAACCTGAAGTCACTAAGCAACCTAAGGTGGAAACAAGTGAAGCTGATGATGTTGCATATGACCCAGAGGATGACTCTATTTTCGAAGAGGTTAAAACTTTAGTTCCAGGTCAAGCTAAGCCTGCAACTGAGTCTGCAGCCGATCCCCAAAAGATTCTTGAGAGCCTTAAACACATTGGTGATCAAGCATTGCAGAAACAAGGAGAACAGCAAATGTCCTCTACAAGCACTCCTATTGCCTCAGTGACACTTGCAAGCACACTCTTAACTCAACCTGCAAAATCTCTTTTGGCCAATTGTCAGTTGCTACAGCTTGGCAAAAAGGTTGAGGAGCTTGTGAAATCTTCATCTGTTGCTCCTTTAATCAATCAGAGGAGAGATCCCAGACAAAGCAGGGATCCTCGCCAGTCTACAGGCAGCAGAAAACTGTCTGATGAACCCGAGGACAAAGAGGAGACACCTGCTCCAGTGACCGATCCTGTTCCTCCAGCCTCACAGCCTGAGGTGCAAGAGCTGCAGTCGCCTAAAACAGGCGAACCTGCAGACTCGTCACAAGATTCAGACCCCTCACTGCATCAAGAGGAAGTGAAAAGTGAGGCGCTAGTTTTCATGGAATCGGACAAGGCAGAGGTTTCAATTCCTTTATTAGGCGAAAAGGTGGACCCTGATATGGAAGTCAGCTACACAGATGAGAAAGAAGAGAAAAAAGAGGAAAGCGAGCCAGTTAAGTCTGAAACAAAGATGGACAAGTTCAGTATGTGGCCAAATGCAGCCAGTATTTTAAAAGCTGAGGATTCAGAGTATGAGGAGAATAGCCAAGAGACATCTACAGCAAGATATTACAGTGAGCCTGCAAAAACATCCAAAATAACTTCAACAATCCCAGTACTCACTCAGAGCACAGCAGCAGCTGACACTCAGTCACATCACATGCTGCATCACATGACAGGGTCAGACTTCGACAGTGAGTACAAACCTCCAGCTGACATTCCTCCACAACCCAACTTCTCCCTTCCCCGTTCCATGCAGGGCCAAAATCTAATAATGAGGCCGCCTCCAGTGCCTGTGCTACCACCCATGCAGGCCATGCAAGGTCCTCCAATGTCAGCCCCCCCTCCTATTCAGGGACCCCCTCCTCCAATCCATGTTCCTCCCCCTGTGCACAGTCATCCCCCAATGCAAGGTGACAGCAGTCAGCAGTATGGCCCACCACCATCTTCATACCCTCCCTATCAAAACCAGTGGTCAAGCACGCAGCCACCACCTCAACAGCCACCACCTGGCCCACCACCTCAGAATATCATGCCACCCAGAGGCCCACCACTACCACCATTCCCTCCAGTAACCCAGAGGGGCCCACCTCCTCAGATATTTGATCCCTCCATTCCCCCTCAGCACATTGGACAACCAGGTCCCCCTCCAGGACTTCCCCTTCCCCCCACCTTCGATGGACAGAACAGCTTAGCTCCGCCCAGATTCACTAGTCCTCCCCCACCACCTTTTAATTTCCCTGGAAACAGAGGTCCTCCTCTACCTTTCACCGCTCTGCCACCTGGTCACTTTGATAACAGGCTTCCTCTTCCAAATCTCTTTCCAGGGCATAGGGGTCCCCCACCACCTCAGTATGGTGACCATGGGGCTCAACCAACAATAGTAGACCAGGCTCGAGGATCTGCAGAACAGTATAACAAAGATGCTGTTAATAATCCCAATCAGGGCCCTCCACCAGGTCCAAGCTACCGGGGACCTCCACATAACCAGTATGAGGACAGACGAGGTCAGCCTCCCAGTGGAGAGCACTTCAATCCACAAATCCAGTATGGGGGCTCCAGACCTCCATCTTCACCACCACACCGAGGATTTTTTGATGAGCACAGAGGTCCTCCATCTCAGGAGACCAGACCTCCGCCTTTTGCAGGCTCTGACCGGTACCGCTTTGACAGGTACTCTGATGAGGCGAGACCTGTTCGCCACAGCGGGCCACTGCTGCCAACTCCTCCGGAGGCTCCACTAGGTCCGCCAGACCTACACCGGGACGATCACTGGCGCCGCCATTCTCCTGAAATGAGGAGGAGGAGCAGCACCACCCGTGAGGACTCAGAGCCTCGCAGTGGAGATCGCTTCAGCCGCTTTGAAGGACATAGAGAACTCATTCATGGTTCCTCACAGGCCCCTGATGAGAGGCCGAGGGATCTGTCTGAGGACCGCCGGAGAGAGAAAGAGAGAGATGTCCCTCATGCTGGCAGGCCCTCATGGGACAAGGGGCAGGGAAAGCGGTGGAGCCGAGAAAGAGAGTGGGACAGAGGCAGAGAAAGGGACCGGGATAACGAGCGTAGCCGAGAAAGAGACCGCAGCAGAGGGAGGGAGGGTGAGAGGCACAGGGATGCAGAGGGAGAACGACACAGGGATCAAGATTCAGACAAGAGGCGAGACCGAGATAGGGACAGGGAAAGAGACAGAGACAGAGTTAGGGAATCTGACAGGAAAGACTTGGACCGAGATAGGGGAAGAAACCGTGACAGAGAGCGAGAACGAGAGCGTGAGAGAGACAGGAAGCGGGACCGATCCAGAAGCAGAGAGAGAGACCGTGACAGGGATCGTGGGAAAGATCGGGGTAGAGACAGGGATAGAGATCGAGATAGGGACAGAGAGAGGGAGAGAGAGAGAGAAAAGGAGAGGGACCGTGACAGAGGCAGAGATCGTCGGGAAAGAAGCAGAAGCCGAGATAAGAAAGAAGAGAAAAAGGACAGTAAACACGATACGTCCAAGGACAGTGATAAAACCACAGAAAATAGCAAGAACGTTTCCTAGTCTCTGTTTTATGGACATTACGGTTCCAAGACTTTTACATCTTTAATCACTGTAAAAACAGAAGAGCAGTATTTCATCAGATTTCCACGGTTGTGTTCCTACCAGACAAAAACATTTAAATATGTTTGTATTCTCTTTGTCACCTAAAGGTTTCTAAGTTTGTTTTATTACATTTGAAAAGCAAAAAACTGAATGCAAGCTAAACTGCTTGTGGTACAAGACGTATTAATGTAGGCTGCACAGTCCTATTACATGTACCTTTTTTTGTCAAAGCATTTTTCTTTTTAGAAAACAATAATGTAACTGATTCACACCATTTGCAATATGTAAATATGAATGTATTTGTGTATATAAGGATGTTTTTAATCATACTTTTCTAAGTAGAGAAAATAAAAGCCATATATCTGAGATGGACAATGTGAAGGCTAAAGATACACTGAGACATAAATGTGTTAATATGTTCAACAGATTTGAAATAAAATGACATCAGCCTTACAGTATACACCACAAAAATGGTTGTTTATGAACTGTCACTTTTTTTTGTTTCAGCTCTACTAATAAACCTGTTTGATGGCATTTGTTTTGGATGTAAACAGTTTTTCTTTCAAATATAAATGAAACGATTATTCATCTTAAAAGTGGTGTGGGGTTTTTTGTGTTCACACTTGTTTTAGCTACACATACTGATTATTAGCTTATTGAGTCAGATGATAAAGTGAGCAGTTTCAGTTGTTAAAGATCAGAAATCAAAGCTTTTCTTTTTCAGTAATAAAACGCGTATTAATCTCGATAATTAACTTTCAATTTAGGAGCTTATTTTTTCAGTCCATATAGAACCACCATATAATATTTTGGCCATGGCCTGTACTAATATGAATATATATATATAATTGTGAAGAAATTCAAGCTTCAGCAACACCGACTACAATACAGAACCTCTTTAATGTTTGACCCATGCTGCAGTAGAAAAACAAAGCAAACAAAAAACCACACATCCACATCTCCTGATGAGGCGCCGACTAGACAGTCCAATAGAAAACTTTTACGCCACCATAAGCCAGATAGATCCACCTGTGGGGGTGGTTAAGTGTTATCCCACCCAGCGTCAAGCAATTTAAAACAGTTTAAAATGAAACTGAAAAATAACCCGAAAGCTTACAAGAAAAAAAAATTCCTTCGAATTGTTTTGGGTTGTTTTTTTTTGTTTTGTTTTTTTTACATCTGCAAGGAAAATAAAAAGCAATGAAAAAATAACGATATGAGGTGATGAAGGGTAAAAACTTCAAGTACCTGAATGGTTTTAAAACCATAAGGAGGAAAAACAGGCTTAGTGTATCAGCAAGCCTCTTCAAGGCCACTTCAAATTGTAACCTGCATAAACAATATAACATTATCCAACCTTTATGCAACCAAAGAAGGTGTGGGGTTTATCACCTGTAAGACTGAGAATGAATTTATATGATACAATATCCATGTAACGTGATATATATTAATGAAACCGACAGTTTCCTTAAAAAACACATAACTGAAGACAGAAATTTAGCTGACCGAAAAAAACAACCAGTAATGTTGCCTGGCATTTCAGTAAAAACATCACATTTCATCCTTTTTTATTACAGACAGAGGTGCTTGAATCTAACCACAGATGGGTTGATGTCAGTTGTTTCAGGAAAAGGAAGGATTGTGGCTTTTCTAGTTTAAAAGTTTATTTCCAGGGGGGCGTGAACAATTTTGTAGTTATGTTTAAGTAGTGTTTCATAAATTTTGTCCACATGGTATAGTGGTTTAGACATTCACCTAACATTTAACATCAATCTTCAATACCAGAAGGAGACGCATATCCCTCTGAGGTTGTGTCAGGAAGGAGAGCAGCATAAAAATCACTGTTAAGATTCAGAGTCTCCTTCTGTGCTTGGGCATCCCTGACCACAACGTTTTGGATTTTCCTTTGGAACCACACAAACCCATCGTTAGGTTTATAGTTCAAATATGCAAAGCTGATGAATACTGAAGTAAGCAAACATTTCCATAAAGAATCAGGCCTTTTGACTAACTACACTGCTGAACTAAATCACTGGATCTGCATACACTCCATACACAGTATAATTTATCAGTATTATTCAGCATAAGATGAATAAGCTTTTCATTGTCATCAATCAATCTTCATTATGGCTGAAAGTTTCTTCACCCTCACGAGACTCATACTCTGCATTGTTACACGACTCATCTGCAGACAGGTTTTCCTCTTCTTGTGCTTCACTGTCAGAAATCACAGTGTCCTCCTGTGACTCCAGAGAGTCAGCGGCCTCTTCCTTTGCTGCCTTGGGCTGCATTGACCACAATTTTTGGATTTTCTTTGGGCACCACACAAACTCATCTTTAGGCTCATAGTTCAAATATGCATACTTGATGAGACCTCTGCACTTTTTCTTATCAAGTACAGCAAACATAAAGTAGCTGAGGACGCTGTCCCTGATGTTTGGAAGTTGTCCATTGACCAGAGTCTCCTCCAGGAAGAAGTGGACCAGAGGGGCTTGGTAGTGACGGTAACCCAGGTTTCCCAGACACTTCAGGATGCGAGTGATGCGCAGGCTGTTGTGTGTGTGACTGTCAGACAGTGATCAGTCCCAAAATTAGATCATTTACAGCTTTTTGTCACTTTTACTGCACACAGATTTTTTTTAAATTCAGAGGTAGTTTTACCTGTTAAGGTTGTCAAATCTTTCTTCCCAGTGCTTTGCTCTCCTGACTTCTCCAGTTTTTTCATCACACAACACGATACCATAAAAGTCCAACATAAGCTTGTACGACTTCAGCAGGTTTTCCTGTGCAAGGCTGTGATTACAAAAATCCTGAAGGAAACATCGAACCTCTATCAGTGTATAAGACATGTTTTCTTTTTAAATCATAACTTGGTAACTTTCACAGGTTTACCGTAATTTCTTCCTTTGTCAGTGTACTGGCCTCATAGTTCACTCCTGGTTCTTGCAGTGGGAACAACCTTTGAGAGAAAATGTCGTTACAAACTGGAACTGAACTTTTTACATCATATTTGTGACTATAGAGTAACTTACCACTGATTATAGGTTTGCACGTGCTCAAGGCTTTCATAGTCTCCATACCACTGTTCATGGAACTCAGTTATGCTGACACCTGGTAACAAATACAAGTCACAGCAAATAAATCTGTTTGCAAATGAAGCTGCACAGATTACGATTTATCCAGTGATCACTGAGGTGGTTCAAACTGATATTTCTGTACTATAAAATATCTTTTTCTGACTCCATGTCCTTGTGTGAAATGGTATTCTTCTTCAGGTCTCTGAAGTTATTCCAATGTCATGAAGATATTTTGAATACTTGAAAAAGATGAGATGAATAACAAAACAGATCTACTAAACTCTTCTTCTTGAATGAAAACACATGTATGTTATGTTCAGTTTAAGGACATTTGGGTGCTGGTAAAAGGCCTACCGTCTGGCACCGATCGTTTCTTTCCAAGGTAGAAATTCAGATTAGACTTGTCGTCCTACACAAGAGAAAAGAATTTGATTCAAACCATTTATTTTGTTCTTCTTTGAAATAAATCTAAAAACAAACGTTTACATACATTTGTGTTCTTCTTCCTGTGCTGTGTCTTGATTTGGCTCTGCAGGGACACATAAAAGAACAACATGTGCTTGGCTCGTGCTTAAACATGAGAGTGTGTGTTTACAGTGTGTGTGTGTGAGACTTACAGGGTAGTCATGTCTGTAGTTCTGCATGTCTCTCGCAGCACGTTCAAATCTGCTGAAGTTGTACTGGAACACAGAAGACAAATGGAGTTCAGGGGTAACACTGCACAGCTAAAGGAGACATTCAGTAACCCAAAGATCATCCTTGGAGATCCTCCATCTTTATTTACAATAAATGGGTTTCGGTCTTTGTGCATATGTCCTTCTGTGGCTCTTTGTATTCATTTGTTGATCTCATATTGATTATTTCAGAGATATATTTCACAACACAAAATGTAGTCACCACTCTAAAAATGTTTCTGGTTATCTACTTCTTTGTTCACCATTGTTATTTATGTCCATTTTATCTTTCACACTGATTTTAATCTCTTTTGGAAAATTTTAAATGTCTTCCTTTGGCTCTTTGTTGTTTTTTTGAGCCATCTTTGTGATTTTTTCTTGCAGGAAAAATCAAGAAATGTGAACAGAGCTATCACCTGAATAAAGTTCTCTGGAGGGGCCATCTAACACCTTGGGCCTGTGGGCCTGTGACAGGTGGCTCCTTTTATGCCTGCAGTAAATGATTTGTGAGCAGACGTGGAAAATCAAAGTACTTGTGACAGGCACTGGCTTACTTACATAGTTTGTTGTCTGTCTGATCCTGCTGGGTGGGGTCTCCTCATTCGGGTCGGTCTCCCAGGTTGAATCATAGTCGCAGTAGAATTCATCCGTAGTGTGAACTCGATACTCTGTGCTGTCAAACTCTTCCTCTTCTTCTTCCGGCCCTGTCAGCTTCTTCCCTTCGTCAACTGCATTTTCCGTGCGCATTTCAGACTCATTTGGGTGTACCATAGAAACCTAAAAGGAATAAAGTAAAGAGCAAACCACGGCATTGTGCCATGTTTGTATCTCCAAGTTGCCTGTTATACAGTCGATCAATTCTTTTTCACGTTTTACATTCACAGAATACGAACTTAAAACGTTTGGTGAGAAACCTGCACGATCACCTTACTGTAAATGTTCATTTCTTTACTCACATTTTCATCAACGGTCTCAACTCGATCATTTTGAAAGTTATCTTGGTTAGACCTTGTCCACTTGGTCTCGGGCTCCTCACCATTATCTGAGGACCTCTTTAGTTCGGGACTAATAACCCTCTCTGCATCGTCAGGTGAATTCTTGAGTGCACGTGTGTTGTCATCGCTTGTTTCAGACTCATTTCTGTCTTTCTTTGAAAAAGTTAAAGGTCCAAACACCATCTGTGTGCGGCGCACTATCCAATCCCGAAGCGAGCGAAACCCACTGTATCCAACCGTGGTGCCAGCTCCATGCTCTCTGCTGTCAAACTCTTCTTCTTCTGGCCCTGGCAGCTTCCTCCCGGACTCCCGGCCTTCGTCAGCCTCATGTTGACCCTCACTGACATCCCCCTCTGCGTCTTCAGATAAACTTCTGAATGAATCTTCGTTTTCTGTGCTTGTTTTAGACTCATTTCTGTCTACTTTCCTGTCCAAAGTTGAGTACGGTGAAGCAGAGCTCTTGTTTCTAAACCACGCCATTATGTTTATATCTCATAGTCTGTTTCACTTTCACGTTTCCCGTCCAAAGACAACTTTGCAGACAGAATACAGATATCATGTTCCCTTATAATTATATAAAAGGAGCACAGAAAAGAACATGCTAACTTTCTTTCTTCTTCTTCTTCTTATGCTTATATAGGCAGGATATACATGATTAATATTATAGCGTAACTATTATGTATTTGTCTGCAGATCAAAGGGAGACTAGTGTTTAGCACCGCCCCCTGATGCAGGTCAGGGGCGTTTCCAGGATTTGTAAAATAAGGTGACACAGGGGTGAACAGAGCAGGGTGGCCACTGGCAGTGTTGGGGAGTAACGGAATACATGTACCGCCGTTACGTATTTAAAATACAAAATATGAGTGACTGTATTCTGTTACAGTTACCGTTTAAAAAGGTGGTATTCAGAATACAGTTACTTTGTTGAAATGAATGGATTACACGGGGGTCTTTTCCTGTTTCATATGTTAGGCTTTCCCCTCTCTCTTGTTGGTAATTCCACGCCGGTGGAAACCCAAACAAAGCACGCATTAAGAGCCTCTAATGCCTGTGTCTCAATCTAGCGGCCCATGTCACCCCTACTTGTGGCCACATAATGACGTGAAGAAATATTTTTAAAAAATGATTCTTCAAAAAATGTTTTAATATGACAGCAATAGTCAAAGTGTTACAAGCATTGCCCTAAAGAATGTAGCCTCACGGGCAGTGTAGCCCAGTTGTAAGTAAGCTATTAAGACTCGACTGTACACTGTGTTCGTGTTTTCAATAATTTCCATTGGAGAAGCCTTTCAACGCCTCTCTCTGTCTCTCGCTAGCAAAGTTGACCCGGACAACAAAGTAAAGCTAGTTTTCGGCTACGACCCGACATGGAACCCGACATATTAGCCAGAGGTCCCTTTATGGTTTTACGCCTTTACAGTTCGGAGCCACAGACCTGTTTTATATACACGCGGTATAGTTTTATATACGAGATTGCTGCAAAAAGTGCAGCCTTACCTAATGTCCACCTACTGTTACTCACTTTATATTAAGATTTAAAAATCTAGTTGGTATTGGTATGGCGAGTAACCTGCAGTAACAGTAATAAATCACACAACAATAGTACATTCATGTAGTTGTAAAAAACCATGATAATATATTAAGTAATCCAAAGTATTCAGAATACGTTACTCTCACTGAGTAATGTAATGGAATATGTTACAGAATACATTTTGGGGCATGTATTCTGTAATCTGTAGTGGAATACATTTTAAAAGTAACCTTCCCAACACTGAATACAGGATATCAGAATATGTAATCTAAGTAACTATATGTGTTATCTTTGTCTAATATTTAAATTTGTTTGATGATCTGAAACATTTAAGTGTGACAAAATAGCAAAAAAAAAACCCCAAACACTTTTCCCACACCAGTGTATATGGCTGGGTAACTTGATATATAGGAATGCAATTTATCTGCAAAATAATAAAAGCAAGAAATCAGAGCTTTAAAATCATTCACATCATCATCATCATCATCATCATCGTTTATTTGTATAGCACTTTAAAAACACACCAGGCAGACCAAAGTGCTGAACAACACAGATCAAAACAACTAGCTAAATTAAAAATACAATAAAATTATTAAAAATACAATAAAATTAATAAGAAAGGTGTCAGTTTCCTGCAAAGTTACAAGCCAGGGAATAAAAAATAGGTCTTCAATCTGGACTTAAAGACCTGCACTGATAACGCTTGTCTAATATGGAGGGGAAGGTTATTCCAAAGCATCGGACCTGCAATTGAGAACGCTCGCTCTCCTCTGCCTTTCAGCATGGAGTACAAAGTCTAATCTTTGCATTATAAACACAGTGGAGTAAAAGCAGAAAGTGGCATAGAAATACCTAAATAAGGTAAAAGTACATTAAAGCTTTACTTCAGCAATATTCTCAGTTACATTCCTGCTGTTCCCATCCATGCTGTCGATTTAGGTGATTTTTCTTTTTTAAAAAAGAAAGAAATCTAAATGCTCTCCCTTTGTCTCTGTGGAGCCTGCAAAAGATGGTGCTCACAGTCTGGTGGGAACACAAGCTATTTTTGTTTCAGCTCAACTGTTTGAACCCATTTGATGAAATTTGCCTCAGTTTTAAAAACCCTTTTCTTTCAAATATTAACGGAGCAAGTATTCAACTTTAAAGTTGTGTGTAATTTCTTTGCCTTCACATTGTTGTTTAGCTGTGATGATTGCTGGTGTAAGGAGTCAGGTGACAGAATTAGAAAGTGAACAGTTGAGGCTGTTAACCTTTGATGGGCAGCAATATTTGGGAGTCTGTCAGAGATTTTTATGTCCTTTTGTAAAGTGACCAACTGTAGTAATACATGAATTGGCTTTGTAACTGACTGTAACATTTTTTATCTTGCCACCCTCTAATTTTATTTTGGCCACAACCTTTACTAACCTGCGATTTGAATATGCAACTCTGAAAGGAAATTAAGACAGATATAAAACAACAAGATGTGAACTTTCTGAATGAGAATGTTTTAATTCTAGACACAAGAACGCAAAAACATTTAGTAATTGATCCCACATAGTCACACAATAACATTAACCCTTGAATTTTGTGTAAAACATGCATCCATTTCAGAACGCTTCATTATTTATGTTCAGAAAAAGAATTAATTGCGAATAAAAATCCAAACTTTAAGTTGTAAATATTGAAGTAAACAAAGATTTCTATAAAGAATCAAGCCCTTTGACTCAGTGTGTAAAGCACAATAACCTGCTAGTAATCTAAGATCTACAGTGTTGAACTAAATCACTCCATACTTCAGTGCAATTTATCAGTATTATTCATAAGCTTTCCATTGTCATCAATCAATCTTCATTATGGCTGAAAGTTTCTTCACCCTCACGAGACTCATACTCTGCATTGTTACACGACTCATCTTCAGACAGGTTTTCCTCTTCTTGTGCTTCACTGTCAGAAATCACAGTGTCCTCCTGCGACTCCAGAGAGTCAGCGGCCTCTTCCTTTGCTGCCTTGGGCTGCTTTGACCACAATTTTTGGATTTTCTTTGGGCACCACACAAACTCATCTTTAGGCTCATAGTGCAAATATGCATACTTGATGAGACGTCTGCGCTTTTTCTTATCAAGTACAGCAAACATAAAGTAGCTGAGGACGCTGTCCCTGATGTTTGGAAGTTGTCCGTTGACCAGAGTCTCCTCCAGGAAGAAGTGGACCAGAGGGGCTTGGTAGTGACGGTAACCCAGGTTTCCCAGACACTTCAGGATGCGAGTGATGCGCAGGCTGTTGTGTGTGTGACTGTCAGACAGTGATCAGTCCCAAAATTAGATCATTTACAGCTTTTTGTCACTTTTACTGCACACAGATTTTTTTTAAATTCAGAGGTAGTTTTACCTGTTAAGGTTGTCAAATCTTTCTTCCCAGTGCTTTGCTCTCCTGACTTCTCCAGTTTTTTCATCACACAACACGATACCATAAAAGTCCAACATGAGCTCGTACGACTTCAGCAGGTTTTGCTTTGCAAGGCTGTGATTAAGAAAATCCTGAAGGAAACATCGAACCTCTATCAGTGTATAAGACATGTTTTCTTTTTAAATCATAACTTGGTAACTTTCACAGGTTTACCGTAATTTCTTCCTTTGTCAGTGTACTGGCCTCATAGTTCACTCCTGGTTCTTGCAGTGGGAACAACCTTTGAGAGAAAATGTCGTTACAAACTGGAACTGAACTTTTTACATCATATTTGTGACTATAGAGTAACTTACCACTGAATATATGTGTGCACGTACTCAAGGCTTTCATAGTCTCCATACCATTGTTCATGGAACTCAGTTATGCTGACACCTGGTAACAAATACAAGTCACAGCAAATAAATCTGTTTGTAAAAGAAGCTGCACAGATTACGATTTATCCAGTGATCACTGAGGTGGCTCAAACTGATGTCAGTATCAAAAAATATCTTTTTTTTTGACATCTCATGATTATAGCATTCTTGTGTAATATCAGTAACGTTTAAGGCCACTTAAGGTTCTGATGACATGGAAATATTGAGAGGATTAGTTGAATAAAATAATGAATTTTATAAGCTCTCATTCTTGAACAAATAAATTACAGAAAAACATTTATTTCACTTCCACTTTATGGACATACTTGACTCTATACTTTGTTCTACTAAAAAGGCCTACCATCTGGCACCGATCGTTTCTTTCCAAGGTAGAAATTCAGATTAGACTTGTCGTCCTACACAAGAGAAAAGAATTTGATTCAAACCATTTATTTTGTTCTTCTTTGAAATAAATCTAAAAACAAACGTTTACATACATTTGTGTTCTTCTTCCTGTGCTGTGTCTTGATTTGGCTCTGCAGGGACACATAAAAGAACAACATGTGCTTGGCTCGTGCTTAAACATGAGAGTGTGTGTTTACAGTGTGTGTGTGTGAGACTTACAGGGTAGTCATGTCTGTAGTTCTGCATGTCTCTCGCAGCACGTTCAAATCTGCTGAAGTTGTACTGGAACACAGAAGACAAATGAAGTTCAGGGGTAACACTGCACAGCTAAAGGAGACATTCAGTAACCCAAAGATCATCCTTGGAGATCCTCCATCTTTATTTACAATAAATGGGTTTCTGTCTTTGTGCAAATGTCATTCTGTGGCTCTTTGTATTCATTTGTTGATCTCATATTGATTATTTCAGAGATATATTTCACAACACAAAATGTAGTCACCACTCTAAAAATGTTTCTGGTTATCTACTTCTTTGTTCACCATTGTTATTTATGTCCATTTTATCTTTCACACTGATTTTAATCTCTTTTGGGAAATTTTAAATGTCTTCCTTTGGCTTTTTGTTGTTTTTCTTTGTGATCTTTGTGATTTTTTCTTGCAGGAAAAATCAAGAAATGTGAACAGAGCTATCACCTGAATAAAGTTCTCTGGAGGGGCCATCTAACACCTTGGGCCTGTGGGCCTGTGACAGGTGGCTCCTTTTATGCCTGCAGTAAATGATTTTTGAGCAGACGTGGAAAATCAAAGCACTTGTGACAGGCACTGGCTTACTTACATAGTTGGAGTTTGTTGACCGTCTGATCCTGCTGGGTGGGCTCTCCTCATTCGGGTCGGTCTCCCAGGTTGAATCATAGTCGCAGTAGAATTCATCCGTAGTGTGAACTCGATACTCTGTGCTGTCAAACTCTTCCTCTTCTTCTTCCGGCCCTGTCAGCTTCTTCCCTTCGTCAACTGCATTTTCCGTGCGCATTTCAGACTCATTTGGGTGTACCATAGAAACCTAAAAGGAATAAAGTAAAGAGCAAATCACGGTATTATGCCATGTTTGTATCTCCAAGTTGCCTGTTATACAGTTGATCAATTCTGGTTTTTACATTCACAGAATACGAACTTAAAACGTTTGGTGAGAAACCTGCATGATCACCTGTTACTGTAAATGTTTATTTCTTTACTCACATTTTTATCAGCGGTCTCAACTCGATCATTTTGAAAGTTATCTTGGTTAGACTTTGCTCGCTTGCTCACGGGCACCCCATCTTCGTCTGAAGTCCTCTTCTGTCCGTCACTAATAGCCTTCTCTTCATCGTCAAGTGAATTCCTGAGTAGACGTGTGTTGTCGTCGCTTGTTTCAGGCTCATTTCCGTCTTTCTTTGAATAAGTTAAAAATCTAAACAGTGGAACCAGTGGAAAAAGCAAGAACAGTAAAGGATTCCTGTGGAGCACTATCCAGTGCCAGAGCGAGCGAATCCCATTGTATCCAAACCAATGCATTATTACTTTACAGCAGCGACACAGCACCGACATAACCCTCATGCGTGAAGATAATCGGTCAGTCTGTTTCGCTTTCCCTTACGCACTTCACAGAAAACCGAAACTAAACTTTGCGGCGACAAACAACATGTTACCGACCGCCGGTGTTGTGCCAAAAAGTGATTGTCTGCCAAAAACTGATTTCCAGTGTTTCTGTGTATTTTTTATGTGTAATATCTTTACGTATGTTCGTAAATAGACTTCGGTGAACAGGGGATACAAAGGGGTTACATAAAGAATTAAAACATTATCTGTTTTTTAAGTATCTTTACAACTTGTACTTACATTATAACCAATCCGGTCCTTTATCCCTACTTAAAATATTTTTACAGAACTATTGTAATATTTGCTGCCATTTCTGCTGTCCTGTCGGGCAACTTACTCTTACAAAATACATTTTTAATGTTAATGAGATTTTTTTTACTGCATAAATAAAGGTTATATAAAAGTCGCTGCCAAAAACTGATTGCGGCTTGTATCTTGCTACACGAATGTTGTTTGTGGCTCAAGATGACTTTATGTCATCCATAAGGGATGCATTTGACATATGTTTAACATATTATAGCCCAACAAGTTACTTATAGCACTTTAAATATGAGCAATCGCTTTTTGGCAAATACCGGAAATCACTTTTTGGCAGGCAATCACTTTTTGGCACAACACCGGCATCATGTTACCGACTATTTACACGCTGCTGCAAATCAAAAGTAGACTAGACTTTAGTTTGGGAAAACTTGGTTGACGTGTAAAAGTTAATTTTCTTTTAAAAGTAAACCATGTCAGAAATCCAAATACCTTCACTTGGGCTAGTGTTATTTCACTGTTATGATATTGTAATGTGACTTGGCTGTATATCTAATTAATAAACCAATTTTTAAAATATATTTCTATATTTATTCATCTTATTAATGATCACGGTTTAAGTGTATGGGACACATCCCTTAAATTAAACCTAAACATTGCACCAGTGAAGGGGCTCAACACCTTAGATTTCCAGGACTTGGTTTAAAACCCTATTTTTAGCTTAAAAAGCTACAAAGTTTACCTGTAATTGCATAAACAGTCAGGAATCCCCTTTGCACAGATAACCCATAATTTAGTCACACCTTCACCCCAATAGTGAGGTACACTCAGTAAATATTATTCCCTCCCAGGGCAGCCAAAGCTCGAGTAAAACCTGCCTTTTTTATATATGAAATCACAGAAGTTTTCCAACTTCCCTTTGCGCTTGAGTCACATTAAATTCATCATTTCAATATGATTAATAGTAAATGTTACAATTTGCAGGTGTTTAAAAATGAGATTTTTTCTGCATTTGATAAATTAGAATAAATTCAAGTTAAATTAGAAGAGTACTTTCTCTAGTCAGAGTCATCTTCACTGCAGGTGTTTTGATTAGGAGCCCTTTCTGACGTACATGACTTACAGACCATGTCCATGCCCTTTTGGCTAAAAGGCTCAAAGGACTGTTGAGATTAGCTGCAAAGTTCAAGCCTGTTTCCCTCTGTGACACTGTAGCCTTGTCACTAAAGACATGTTTGTCTGCAAATATGTGTGAAGCCTCTACTTATTTTTTTTTAAAAAGAGTTAGAATTTTTATATTTATGATAAAAATGCTCCGGATTTTTATACTATATTATCATCGTATCCACTGCCCGTATTCCCACTGTGGCTGTTATCAATGCAAAGATAGCATCATGTTTGCAGTATATTTCCATGGCTCATTTTCTACGAGAATGGCACTTGGACAGATGAGTGTCTGGACCTGAGTCGGTGGACATCCTGCTCTTAATGTCTTCCCATGAGAGATAACAGGTTGTATGAATTGTCCTGCTGAACAGAGAGATATGGGATGAGTACATCAGATAATGCAGTGCCATTATTTCATGAATGGAGTTTTCAAACCAGCACAGACGCCCTTATTATAAACTCAGTTGCTTTTTGGGTTTATGGCACGCTACAATGAGCTATATATTTATGACTATATAACACTGCTTTGGTAATATTTGTTTCCTATGACGTGAAGTTTGCAAAAGGAATTGATCTGTACTTGTTTAAGCACTGTGTGCATTCACTTAGTGCTCCATGATGAGGCTGTTATCTCTCATACTCATTTCAACAGGACTGTTCTTTCTGCCATTAGAGGAAATAAAGACTTGTCAGAATGCTACATCGCTAACCTCTGCATGGCAGTCGATTCATTCGTGCTTACCAGAGCAGCTAAGGTCCTGTATTGGCTGTAGAAGATGAAAACACAGCATAGTGATAGTCATATGTTCTGCGGGGAATGGAGGCAGTAACTGTGGATTTTAATGACAGATCTTAGGCTCTTTATGGCTCACTTCAGTGCAAGAATAGTTTCCACAAATTGGATTGCCCTCCTAAAATAGATGGGAACTTTGTGAAAGTGAAATAAGTTGCAGCATGGAGCTAAGGCAGTTGGCCTGTTTTCTGATCGCGCTGCCGTGAACCCGATTAGCACGTGCGAAAATCCAACAGATGCCACAGGAAATCTCAGTGAAGGCCCCTCAGACGAGGGCCCTGCACAGTTGCACTGATACGTACACACAAACCACCTCTACAGACGGCCTCACTCGGCAAGCGCGCAGAATGTAGTTAATGACCACAGCTAGGGTGGTAGTTGGCTCAGCAGCTATGTACGCTTGATAAAGGTCAACGCTGCCACCAGCTAATGCCTCACTGCTGAGAGTAATACTATAGTTGCGGGTAGTGTGATTACTCCAGACAGGAGTATTTCATAGGGCAAAATAACACATGGACGAGAGTCCAGAAAGGGTAGCTGGTGATGCTGGGTTTCTTTAAAAGGCTGCCACGTATGTGAGGTACAGAATACACAACTTTACATTTAATTAGTGTGGATGCTGATTAAGCTTCCGTATTTGTTTGTAGCAAATACTACTTGAACGTACAGGTGGTACGTGTATAAATGGTCTGGCATGTATAAATCCTGGCAATCCTCCTGGCACTTAACAGCGTACACTATGTTACTCTGTTTGTGTCTGGTGACACGATCCTTGGGGTGGACCAATTTTTGGCTCAGCGTGTTTTGGGGTTTAAAAGCCATAGAGACACGGTGTTTAGAAAAACTTCGTCTCAACTGTTCCCATACTCCTGACACATACGGGATCACTACAGGTTTTCCCAGCTTTGACAAAAGTCCAGCTGGGACTTTTTTCAGGTGCCAAAAGAAAGCTCCAGCTGATCCAGGAGAGAAGGACAACCGCTGCCTAAGCGGAAAACCTGTTTGTTTTGAGGCATCTCTCAAAACAAACAGATACAAACTTTTAATATTCATTCAGAAGTTTCCTGACTTTCAATTTTCTTTTGTCATTACTCAGCTTTTTCAAATGCACATTTTAAACATGCTCAGCTACTTTTCAACCTCTTCTTCTGTGTGAACTTCAGCTTTCAACATTTCTGCACTTTTTTTCAGATGAAAAATTCTGTATTTTTCAGCTCATTTAACATTTTTAGCTTAACTTTAGCAATCATTTCAATTCTGCTCAAAACATTCAGCGATCAGCATTCACACTGCAGTTTCTTCAAAAAATGCATTTTCTACTTGTTACTTGCTATTAATCTCTCGTTCTCTTCCACAGTGCATCCTTCATCCTGTCTCTGCCCTCTCCCGCAACCAGTCGTTGCAGATGATTTCCACTCCCTGAGCTTGGGTCTACCAGATGTTTCCTTCCTGTCAAAATGGACTTTTTCCTTCCAACTGTTGCCAAGTGCTTGCTCATAGGGAGTCATGTGATTGTTGGGGTTTACTCTGTATTATTGTAGGGTCTTTACCTTAAAATATAAAGGACCTCAAGGTGTCTATTGTTTAATTTTAGGTCTTCTTTGATACAGTGTGATAACCATTTTCACAAATCAGTCAAATGCAGTTTAAGTAAAATGGAGGTTAAAGCAGGATGTGCTTTAAGACATCACTGACATGGAGCTTCTGCAGGAATATTCAGAACCATCCCTCCTGATGACCACCGGTTTAAGGAAAAAAAGACGAAAGATAGCCAATATGCTCAAATTCGCTAGAGAAAAGGTGTTAGCAACTACAGTCATATTTTATATACAGTGATGCACATGTATTACATTAGTAGAACATTTAATGATTTTTATTGTGCTTTTCCCATAGAAAAGGTTTAATATAGTCCTGCTCTAATTTAGACATATTGTATCATGCGTGAGTTTCTAACTTCCAGTCTGTCTTATAACTGAATTTAAAGTAAGAAATGAAATGTATACTCTAGCACAAAACGTGAAACAAACTAAACACCCTATGCTGAAATCTTGCAACATCAAAGCGAATATAACTGTAACTGTTTCAAGAAACCGAACTGAGCACATTAGCACTTGTTAAAAGTCCTCATAGTCCTCTTAAAGTTCAGTAAACGAGGTTATGTGAGCATGCTTCACCTGACCACACGCTAATACTATAGGCTACACTTTCAAGCCATTTAGACCTATGCTGTACTCCTAACAGGCCCATGGCCTCTTTACACCGTGAAGACCAGCGAAACCCATGTGCATCTGTGCCTCTGAGCAGCAGCAGCAGGAGCAGCAGCACCCTCCCCGCCTCCTCCGGGCACTCTGGATTTGAGGATGAGGACGCAGAACATCAGGACCCTCTCTCTCATCCTCTCAATTATTTTCTACCTGCTTGTAGGAGCCGCAGTTTTTGACGCACTAGAGTCAGAAAGCGAGAGTTCAAGAAAAAAAAGGCGCTGGAGCAGAAGCTGAGCGAGCTGAAGAAAAAGTACGAGGATGATTTCAACCAGATCTAGTGAGTGGTCCATCAGACAGAGCCGCATCGCGCTGGGAGGCAGTGGAAGTTTGTCGGCTCTTTTTACTTTGGCATCACCGTTATCACTACAATTGGCAAGTATATAATGTTGTGGCCTGACTTCACGGTATTGTGTGATTTTTGCAGTAATTTTTTTGACAGTTTTTCTTTTTTTGGACCCTGAACAGCAACTCATTGAAGATAGACACATAAACTAGGCCTACCTAAATGATTTTTTGATTGTGAATTAT